GGGGGAAGAAGAGGACCTATCAGAGGCGCCCTCTAACAATCTGCCTTCCGCAACGTGTCATGTCTTTGTCAAGCGACATATAAATGGTTACAATAACAGATATATTCTTCCTTCACAGACACAGATTAGACCACAGAGGAGACAGGTTGCTCCGACACTGTCTATCAGAGCTATAACCACGGCTGAAAGGGAAACCACATTCCAGCAGAGTGATGAAGTATAATGTAAAAAAAAAAATTCCCCACTCGAGAATCAAACTCACATTTTTAGCGAGTAGCGGCAAGGGGCCTGACCATTGCACCAGAGACACCAGTTGCCTGCCCTGTCTCTTTCTAAAACATAAAGGTTTAAAAGGTAGATGCAGATGTTTTTACACCATCAGAACACAATCTAGGGATCATTAACGGAGCCTGCCTGCCAGGGCTAACCGAGGCTGAGAGGGCTACAACATCTGAGCAGAAAGACCATGGTACTCGATACAAATTCTTCTAATTCAGAAACCAAACCCAGGTCTCAAGATTGCAACGACAAAGAGCCTAATCGCGCTACACCACATAAGCCGGTTGTCTTGTTTAACGAGCGACGGGCAGAGTATGACCAAGGGTTCACTCACTGAGGGCGAGCATTCTAACCATCAAAATGCTGAAGATGCGCTGTTTTGAGGCATTACCTCATTACTCAAACGCAGTTTTCTGTTCTTTATTATTTTATTATAGTAGAGGATTTTACGGCGCTCGCAACTGCATAAGTTCATACGAGCGTCAAGGGGTGGGTGTCAACAGAGAAGTCTTTACAGGGAATCAGACTTAAAATGCTCACCTCTCTAGCTTCAACAACACAAGGTCTGCTTTGACTATTAAGGCACCCCGGAAATAGGAGGTCACAAGAGAGTGACAAACATACAAAAGAAGTAGAGGAAAATGACAATAGTGAGGATCAGGAAAGAAAAAGCAGCAGTTCCCTGTTGTAGATCAGGCACAGTTATGAGCGTCACATGAGTCAGCCCATTTACAATTCTGCTCTGCTTGAACGAGAAATGTCCCCCCTTTGGGAACGGCCCAAAGATACTACAGTCAGTGGCACTGCCAAGGGGGGATTCTATTTACTTTACCTCAAACATTAAAAAGCAAGCAACAGCATGTAGACTCATAATGCAAAATATGTAAACTCGTGTTTCTGATTTCAGTATGGTGGTGGTTCGTTCGAAATGTACCGAAATATAGCCTTAGTTCTGCAGCTGGTCGGACATGTGTCCGATATATACGTTTAAAGAGTTACACATCACAACTGGCAAAGCTTCAACGCGCCCTCATATGACCTTATGCAGCTGTGAGCGCCGTAAATAAAATTACAACCAAAAATAAGAAGCTTCAACGACATTGAGCAAACCTGTCGTAAAAAGACGAAACATGACTATCACAATCCTGACCAAGATGACAGTGTCCAAGGCACGCTGTATAGTAATCTATGATTCACTAAAGTGGCCTTGACGCTATACTCATATCAGCAGGAAAAAACCGCAACTGCTTTCTTATGATGATATGACAAAACAACCTCAAAATCCCCCCCCCCCCCAAAAAAAAAAAAAATTATAAAAAAAATCAAAAAATCACACAAAACAAAAAAACCCCCAACAAAACAACAAAAACCAAAACCACAAAAAAACAAAATAAACAACAACAAAAAAAACCCGTTCTTGAAATTACATGACAAGACAAAGTGGTCAACGCAGTGGTGTTGGATAGATTAAGACTTCCAATGATAGCTTCATCGTTCATTCATGCACTGCGGTCAGATTGTCAGGATATAGTCGTCCCACAGAAGAGGAAGGTTTGGTATTAGCAAGATTTTTTTACGGCAGTAATTACACAAATTAATCATCTAACTGTCGAGTATTAGAGGTTTTACCTAGAGAACAGCATACAAAGAAAAGCAGGAGCAGAGATGAGGACAGCAGAGAGATAGGAAAGAAGGATGAGTAAATCACATCAAGGCGCCCGCCGACCACCAACATCTTTTTTCGGTTGAAAGTTTCACATGGCCTCCCTATAACTGGCACAGCCGACCTGCTTTGTCCGATTTGTCATTTCTGCCCGACTATTGTTCACAAAACGAGGGATTCGTTTGATTTACGGCACTTGCAACACAACACCCCCTCTTCAAACAATCCACGTTTAAACGGTGTATATTACTCTCTAGTAGCAGTAGCACCTCTAATCTTCAGTACTTTTATGACGGACTTACGTTACAAGTGCCGTAAATTTGTTTACTACATGACTTTAAAAAATAACCACGGGCGCTGAGGAAATGTTCTCTCTCTCTCTCTCTCTCTCTCTCTCTCTCTCT